CCCCCCAGATCAGTGTGGACGGAGACGTGGTGGCCGCGGCCTCGGGGGGGCTCTCGGTCGAGGTTTGGAGGCTCCGGACCTGACTCGGGGCCTGGGGGGTCCCTCCTGCCTGGTGTGGGGGGGCTCAGCCCGAGCCCCCCGGGACCCCCCCTACGCCCCCAACGTGAGAGGGAGGCCGGGCCCGGATCCGGGGTCTGGGTGTGGCTGGAAGCTGTTGGTTGTATTAAAGAATTGGACTGGAGCGGGGTTTGTGTCCCCCCGCGGTTTTGGGGGTGAATTCTGGGGGCGGGGAGGGTTGCGGAGGTTTCGGGGCTCTGTCTGCAGCGAAGCCGTTCGCGTCCGCGCGGCTCTTGGCGCTCCGCGGCCGCCGTAGCGCCAAGATGGCGGCGCGCGGGTCTCCGGCAGTGTAGGAACCAAGATGGCGGCGCGCGGCTGTACGGCGGCGGAGGGCGGCCCAAGAAGGTGGCGCGCAGGCGCACGGCGGGGTGGGGGCGGCCCAAGATGGCGGCGCCCTGAGCGGCCCGGCCGAGCCATGGCGGCCCCGGGAGAGGCTCCGGGGGAGGCCCCGGAACCGACCCCGGGCCCCGGGGACCCCCCGGCCGAGGCGCTCCGGGCCGTGCTGCGGCCCAGCGGGGCCCTGCCGGCCGAGGCGCTGCCGGTGCGCGGGTACGACTTCGCGAGCGGCCCCGACCTGGCGGAGCTGCTCCGCTCCTTCCGCACCACCGGCTTCCAGGCCACGAGCTTCGCGCGGGCCGTGGCCGAGATCCAGAGGATGGTGCGGGCACGGGGGGGGGGCACACGGGGGAAAGGGGGGTCCTGGGAGGCGTCAAACGGGGCTGGTCCCTGGGGAGGTCCCGGGGAGGGGTCCCAGTGCCGTTCCCGTGGGTCACATCGGGGGGAGGGGGTGGCCGGGTGAGGATCCGGGGGGGAGTCCCGGTGGTCCCGGTGTGACCCACCCCCCGTCCCTCCCCCCAGATCTCGGCCAAGCTGCAGCCCCTGACTCCAGAGCAGCGGGAACGGGGGGCCCTGGCGGGGCCGCGGCCGCCCTCGGGCTGCACCATCTTCCTGGGCTTCACCTCCAACCTCGTGAGCTCCGGGGTCAGGGAGAGCATCCGATACCTCGTCCAGCACGGAATGGTGACCGGGGGACACTGGGGACATGGGGGGGACACCTGGGACAGGGCGGGACAGCAGGGACCGATGGGGAAGAGCAGGGATGGGGAGGACACTTGGGGACTTGGGGGGGGACACCTGGGACAGGTGGGGACGTGGGGACACAGCTCCGCGGTCAGGGAGAGCACAGAATGGGGATGGGGGGGCAAGGGACACCTGGGGGACAGGGTGTCCCCGAGATCCCTGGGGTGTCCCCAGGGTGTCCCCAGGGCCCTGAGCCCCTCCCTGTGCAGGTGGACGTGCTGGTGACCACGGCGGGGGGGGTGGAGGAGGACCTGATCAAGTGCCTGGCACCCACCTACATCGGGGACTTCCACCTGCGGGGCCGGGACCTGCGGGAGAGCGGCATCAACAGGTCTGGGGGGGGGAGATGGGGGGCCGGGGACCCCTCTGGGGCCACCTCTGGGCTCACCTCGGGGTCGTTTTGGGGTCCCCCAGGATCGGGAACCTGCTGGTGCCCAACGACAACTACTGCAAGTTTGAGGACTGGCTGATGCCCATCCTGGACCGGATGGTGGAGGAGCAGGACACGCAGGTGAGGGGGGCACACCCACCCACCTGAGAAGGTTTGTGGGGTCCC